TTTTTATTTTTATTTTTATTTTTATTTTTATTTTTATTTTTATTTTTATTTTTATTTTTATTTTTATTTTTATTTTTATTTTTATTTTTATTTTTTTCCTGCTCGTGACCCTTACCATTTTTTCCCCCCCCTCCCCCTGCCTGGAGACGATTGATCAGTTTGGTTTACAAGGGCAACGCGTCGTGTGCCCTTGTTCCCCAGGATGTCCCCATGGAGAACCGTGGACCTCCGGGGCTGCTGCGTTGCAGGCACTGCCTGCTCAAGATGGGATTTTTGGGAGCAAAGGGGTCATGTCTCGAAAATATTTGGCCTATTTTATATTTTCTTCAGCTGCTGCGTTGAGGTTATTTATTAACTCCAGAAGTAACGAGCAGCGAGTGCTGCTCTGCAGGTCACCCCAGGGGCTGCCTTGGCCCTTGAGCTTCCCAAGGCTTGGAGAGCTTCCACATCCATTGTTTAGGGAGGGGAGTCCCCAGCGAGCTGCCCCCCATCTTGCCCCGGCACCTTGAAAGCGAGCTGAGGTTTAAACCCTCCTCCCTTCCACTGCGCTGGCCGACGGGAGCGGGAAATCCTGCTTTCCGAGCTGCCTCGCTCTGGTCTCCGCTGCCGTTTTGCCCGTCGTGCGCTTCCTCTGGCGGGGTTTTGGCCAGTCCTCGCTTTTGCCGCCTGACGTCGTGTCCTGTCCCTTGCAGTACCTGCTGAAAGCCAGCGAGAGCCAGATGAAGCAAGGCCCCGCTTTCCTGCAGAGCCTCATCGAGTTTTTCCACGCGCAGCACAAGTAGGTGCTGCTCGCGGCGAGCCCGCGGCAGCGGGGAAGTGGGACGGGGAGGATGCGATGGCACGTCCGTGCTTGGGGTCCGGCGCCGGCCATCCGGCCTCGGCTCAGCACGGACCCTCGGGAGATGAGGGATGAGCTTCTATGGAACGCAAGGCCAGTCCCATGTCCCCAGATATTTGGGCTGTCCTAACCCCTTGGGACAGGGGGACCTTCAGCAGTGTCTCTAGGTCTAGCAAGAGAGCCCCAGAGTGAAAGCAGCTTCCTGGGGGGTTGCTCATTTCTCTGGGCATGTTTTTTTTCTGAATAATCTCTTTTTTTTTTTTTCTCCATCCTCCCCATTTGCATCTCTCCTTAACTGAATGAAATAAATGCACAGTTTCTTCCAAGATGGCTGGAAGGCTGCCCAGAACCTCTACCCCTTCATCGAGAAGCTCGCCGTGTCCCTCCACGCAGTAAGTCCCCCATCCTCCTGCCCAGTGCTGCTCAGACGAGCAGCTAAGAGGTCACGTTTTCCTCTTGGGACGGTGCCTGCCGGCCCCCCRCGCCAGCTCCTGGTACTGAGAACGCATTCATTCAGCACAGCAGTGAGCGCGGCCGCTTCTCTTCCCAGCTGCACCAGGCTCAGGAGGAGGAGGTGAAGCAGCTCACGCGGACACGCGATTCCCTGCGGAGCATCCTGCAGCTCGAGAGCAGAGAGGTGGGAGCCGGGGCAGGAGCGGCAGGGACGGGGAGGCTGGGGAYTGACAGAGGCACCCGCAGGGGTGGCAGGGCAGGGGGTCTGGGCAACACCGGGACAGGAGCTGGCCTGTCCTGATGGGCACGGACCCGGTGTCCACGCAGCGGCCTCCAGCTCTGGCATGGACAGCACAACAGCTTCTCACTCCTTTTAACAGCTTCTTTATTTATTATTATTTATTTATTTCCCCTCCTGGTGAGCTCAGGAAAACCTGAGCAGGAAGAACTCTGGCAACGGCTACAGCATCCACCAGCACCAAGGGAACAAGCAGTACGGGACGGAGAAGTCGGGGTTCCTGTACAAGAAGAGCGATGGGTGAGGGCCGGTCCCAGCCCCGGGGAGCAATGGGCAGAGCGGTGGTGGTTGGGGTGGTGACGGGAGCGCTCGGGCCGGGCAATGATTCCTCTCCCCTGTCTCAGGATTCGGAAAGTGTGGCAGAAGAGGAAGTGTGGCGTCAAGTACGGGTGTCTCACCATCTCCCACAGCACGGTAGGCAACGGCACTGCTGTCCGGCCCGCTTGTGTGCGGACCTTGTCCTTGGGGAACGTGACCGCAAAGTCTCCTCTCCTTCCCATCTGCCAGAGGATCCCCTGTTTAGCTGCAAAGTCCCAACTACACCCCATGGGTTGTGTCAGGAAAACAAGCCACCGCTAGACCATGGCTTCCAAGTAACGCCAGCCCACGTGGGGTAGACGTTTTCTGTAGGACCCACCTGGTCCTTGAATGTGTCCTTTGGGTGTTGTTGGTTTGAGGTCAGGTTTAGTTGTGCCCACGCTGGCTTAAAACCTCACCTGGAGAAGCGGGGGCTCGGCAGTGCCCGAGCCCAGGCCTGGGATTACCCGGTGGGAGCCCCTTGCTCGGCTCGCATCGCTTGTCCTCTATGTTTCCCCAGCATGGGAGGGCGGGTGCTGGGAGGCAGGTGTTTTGGCGSGGCACGAGTTGGGTGTTGAGCTCCCAGATGGGTGTGGAGCTCCCAGGTGGGTGTTGAGCTTCCAGACTAGGCCAAAGGGGACAGGGGATTGCGGAGGAGGCTGCCGCCCTCTGGAGACRGAGGCTCTGAACTGCACAGAGCCAGGAGGACGGGACATGGCATCTCCTGCAACGTGGCCTGGCCAAGACCTTCTGCAAAGGGAGCTTGCCGGGCTCCGAGAGCATCCGCCTGGCACTGTCATCCCAACGGGATCAAGAGGCACAGGGACTGCCTGGGGCTGGTGGCCCTCCTGCTGATAGGGCGGCTGCTGTAGGAGGCACATCATGGATGTGGTGATGGATGCCCATCCCGAAGCGCATCCCAAGAGCAGCAGCTCATCCCGCATTCCAGCTCCCTTCCCAGCCCAGCCCTCTCATGTGCCTCTGTCCTTGCTGCCCACAGATCAACCGGCCCCCAGTCAAACTGAACCTCCTGACCTGCCAGGTGCGGCCTCACGCTGAGGAGAAGAAGTGCTTTGACCTGGTGACACGTGAGTGACCGGGAGGGAGGGAGGGAGGGAGGTTCCAGCGCCGCACATGCCGCTTGCTCCGTCATCCCTCTTGCTAGGGCGCATGGGTGGCTGCATGGCCGGGATTTTCCCCGGCGTTTCCATGTGGAGGCGGCGAGGGGCAGGAGTGTTGCCATCTGCAGCGCGGCCGCCTCCACGTCAGCTCCCTTTGCTGCGGGAGTTTCTCCAGACCAGCCCCAGCAGGTTTTCCCAGCTCCCCATGGCGTTGTGCCAAGGGGCCCGGGCGCACTTTGCCCTTCGAATCCAACTGGGTGTCTCCTGGGCTGCCTCTATGCAGGAAGGACAAATCCTTCCAAGGAATAGGGTGGGACTGGGCAGACAGGAACCTCATGAGGTTCAACAAGGACAAGGGCAGGGTCCTGCGTGTGGGCAAGAATAACCCCAGGCACCAGGACAGATGAGAGAGAGAGTTGGAGAGCAGCTCTGCAGAGAGGGACCTGGGAGTCCTGGTTGACAAGTTAAACATGGGGCAGCAAGGCCCCTGTGGCCAAGGAGGCCAATGGGCTCCTGGCTGCATCAGGAAGCCTGCAGGTTGATGGAGGGGATCCTGCCCCTCTGCTCAGCTCTGGSGAGGCCAAACCTGGAGCACCGGGGSCAGCTCTGGACTCCCCGGGACAAGAGGAACGTGGAGCTGCTAGAGAGGGGCCAGCGGAGAGTGACAAAGATGATTAAGGGGTTGGAACATCTCTCATATGAGGAGAGACTGAGTGAGTTGGGCCTGTTCAGCTTGGAGAAGAGAAGGCTGAGAGGGGATCTGATCAACATGTCTAAGTTCACGAAGGGAGAATGTTGGGAAGAAGGGGCCAAGCTCTTCTCATTGGTGACCAGTGACAGGACAAGGGGAAATGGGTGTAAGTTGAAACACAGGAAGTTCCATCTCTATGTGAGGAGGAACTGCTTTCCTGTGAGGGTGACAGAACTGTGGCACAGGCTTCCCAGGGAGGCTGTGGAGGCTCCTTCTCTGGAGATCTTCCAAACCCAYCTGGATGCGACCGAGTGCCCCGTGCTCTGGGTGTCCCTGCTTGAGCAGGAAGATTTGACTAGATGATCCCTAGAGGTTCCTTCCAACCTTGAACATTCTGTGATTCTGTGGATCTATCACGGTGAAGACATTTGTGACCCAAAGGAGAGTGTGCAGCAAGGATGTGGTGATGCCAGTGTGACATACCGTGATTATTTTTTTTTCTTTTAATGCAACCCTTTGGAGTCATTTCAGACCCTCTCCTGGGCTCTCCTGAACCTCCCCCTCAACTTTTTCTCCCCTCCTCCTCCCTGCAGACAACAGGACCTATCACTTCCAAGCGGAGGATGAGCAGGAGTGTGTTGTGTAAGTGAAGTGGCCCTTCCCTGTCCTGTGAGGGGGGCATCACGAGTGGGCAAAGGCTCCACTTTAAACCCCCCATCATGGGTGAAGCAGCTGCCTTGGGTGCGGGAGATGGGGCTCCTGCTTCAGGCTGGGCAAACTCCTCCCTTCTCCATATGCCCTTGTTGCCCCTGGGAGCATTGGGCGCAGCGTGGCGGCGGGTGGCCTGAGCTCGTCTCCCCGCTGCCCAGCTGGGTGTCGGTGCTGCAGAACAGCAAGGACGAGGCGCTGAGCAACGCCTTCAAGGGCGAGCCTGATGGCAGCGCAGCGGCAGCGGGCGCTGCGGCCGGTGGAGCCGTGCAGGAGCTCACCAGGCTGGTCCTTGGCGAGGTGAAGAACATGCCGGGGAACAAGCAGTGCTGTGACTGCGGCGCCCCAGGTGGGTCCGGGCTCCCGCTGGTGGCCCTGCGGATGGGGAGAGGACCTGGGCTTCTGCAAATGCCGCTCTGGGGCGATGTGCACTGAGAGCGTCCCCCATCTCATGGCTTTCCCCATGGCACTGGGGACGTGGTGGTGGCACTGAGCCCGCCTGTGGCCCCCCGCAGATCCCACCTGGCTTTCCACCAACCTGGGCATCCTGACATGCATTGAGTGCTCGGGCATCCACCGCGAGCTCGGCGTGCACTACTCCCGCATCCAGTCGCTCACGCTGGACGTGCTCAGCACCTCCGAGCTGCTGGTAGGTGCCTCCCTGAGCCCGGCTGCTCCCGCTGCCGGAGCCGGGAACGCAGCCCTGGGCACGCGCTTTGCTGAGGAGGGCAGTGCTGGGACCTCTGCTAAGAGTAGCTGCCCCCGTGGATCCTTCCTGTGGAGGGAGATCCCGGGAAGATGCTGGTGCAGGGAAAGCTGCTCGGAGTTGAGCAGGGCTGGGGGTTGATGAGTCCTGAAGTGCCAGGGCAGGTCATGGGCACAGCATCCTCTCTGCCCTCACTGTCCCGTGTCCCTTTGCCACCCAGCTGGCCACCAGCATCGGGAACAGCCGCTTCAACGAGATCATGGAGGCCACGCTGCCCACACAGGACAGCCCCAAGCCCACAGCCAGCAGCGACATGTGAGTCGGGTGGCACGAGGATGTGGTGTCTTGCCCTGGAGGGGGCCCASTGCTTGGTGGGGAGCTGCCCCTCTCCGGGTGCTGCCCATCCCATGCTGGGCCTCGGAGCAGGAGACGCGGGGCAGCGCTGGCCCGTGTGCGCTCCCTCTGACGCCGCTGCCACTCCCGCAGGAACGCCCGCAAGGAGTTCATCACGGCCAAGTACGTGGAGCGGCGCTACGTGCACAAGGGCGGCCGGCACAGCCCGCAGCGCCTCTGCGAGGCCATTCGTGCCCGGGACCTGCTGGCYCTGCTCCGAGCCTTCGCCGAGGGCCACGACCTCAGCAAGCCCCTGGCGAGCCCCGAGGGCCAGGTACGTTGCCCGCAGAGCGCGTCCTGTAGCGAAGCAGGGGTGCTTCCTGCCTCCTCTTTGCTCCGGGCGCCGCGGGGTGCTGAGGCCGGCGCTCTCCACCCTGGCAGGAGCAGGGCGAGCTGCCGCTGCACATGGCCGTGCGCTGCGCGGACCGGACCTCGCTGCCGCTCGTGGACTTCATCATCCAGAACGCGTGCGTGGTGCCCCCAGCGCGGGTGGGTGGGCGGCACAGGTCGGGGGCACCACGGGCACCCAGAGGCTCTTGGGCTGCTCCCGGCCTTGAGTTTCTTGCCCGTGGCTCGGCGCAGGGGGACGCTGGACCGGGTGACGCAGGAGGGGAACACAGCTCTGCACTATGGTGCCTTCTACAACCAGCCCAACTGCCTCAAGCTGCTGCTCAAAGGCAAAGCCGCCTTTGCTATGGGTACGGGCCCCTGTGCAGCTTTGGGCGCCCTTCCCATGGGCACCTCCTGGGGGATTTGAGTAGGGGGGGCATCATTTCATGTGCATCGCTCCCTGGCGCAGTGAATGCAGCGGGTGAGACAGCTCTGGATGTGGCCAGGAGGCTCAAGCACACCGAGTGCGAGGAGCTGGTAGGTGCATGGGGGGCACCCAGGGATGGGCTAAGGGGCCCATGACAGCCATCGCTGAGCCCCCCGGCCYGGGGCCACCCCCGCAGCTGGAGCAGGCGCAGGCGGGGAAGCTCTCGCTGCAGGTGCACGTGGACTACGACTGGGAGCCGCCCGCCGACTTCCCCTATGACAGCGAGGACGAGCTCGAGGAGAAGGTACCGGGCTCAGCGGCACCCGCTGCGGGGTGGCTTGGTGGGGGTGTAAGTGGCCGTCGGGGCACACTTCCCCCCCAGGTGAGCCCCTTGCAGCGCTCCTCGCAAGGGCCCTCGCTGCCGGCTGGCGGCGCTGCCGGGAGCCGCTGGAGCGGCGTGGGCATGGACGTCACCAACAGGACCTACGAGAGCGTCGTGGTGGCCGTGCGGCCGGTGCCGCGGCGCGCGCACAGCGAGGAGGCGCCGCCGCCGCTGCCCCTCAAGAACCCGGCGCGCGCCGCGCCCCGCGCCAGGGCCACCGCCGGTGAGACGGGCACATTCGGGGTGGAGCGCGGGTGCCTTGCGCGGCGGCAGCGCCCCGCTGCAGTCTGCTCTTTCCGGAGCACTGCTACGSTCCGGCATCACCCCCCTGCTCCATCCAACGCATGTCCGTGCTCTGCGCTCCCCAGAGCGCCCTGAGCTCCCCCGGCAAGCCTCGGAGCCGCACTGCCCCAGCCTGCCTCAGGTGCCGGTGTCCTGGAGCGGCCCCTGCGCCAGCGCCCCAGGCACCCTGGATGTCCCGGCCGGGCACCTGGTCCCCGTGSCCCACAGCCCCCCAGAGAGCCGGCGTGCAGCGTACTGGGAGACCCGCTCGGAGCCGGAGAGTGGCGGCACGTGGAGGGCGCCCGAGCCGGGACAGCTGCCGGGGCCACCRCCAGCCCCTGATGTCCTGCAGCTGCCCCCTGTGAAGTTCAGGTGGGGACACGAGCCTGGGTGGGCTATGGGGGTGGCACCGAGGCTTTGAACCCTGCTGGTCACCCGTGGGGCCTGGGCCACCCTACCTGCTTCCCAGGTGTCCCCTCCCCACTGCCACTGTGGTGTCCGCTCTGTGGTGACCCTCTGTGGGTAAGGAGTGCAGCCTCGGGATGCCGGATTGTCCATCAACATTAGCATCAGCTGGGAGGAGATCCTGGGATTGGGAGCCCATGGAATTTGCCAGGGTTTTGTTGTTTGTTTGTTTGTTTTCCAGCTTTTTTTTGGGGGATGGAATGGGGTGGGAGGGGACAGGGCATGGAAGGGGATGAGCTGGAGTAACCCATGGGGCAACTGTCCCTCAGCATTTGCTTGGGGCTGCGGTTGGGAGCAAGGACCGTGGTCCCGTGGGTCCCACCCCAGCGAGGGAGTCTCTTGACACTGTCCCTGTGCTCCCCGGCAGCTCCGAGTGCACCCGCTCCTACCGCCGCATCAGCAGCGCTGGGGGCAAGGGTGCCTCGGCCGCCTCCCTTCCGAGCCCCGAAGAGCCCGTGCCAGGCAAGGCCCCCCCTGTGCCCATGCCCAGGCGCTTTGCTCCGGTAGGTGTCATGGGCTGGGGCCTCTCCTCCCTGCGCCAAGGGGTCGGGTGGCGGCGAGGGGCCTGGCACAAGGCGTCCCCTGCCCTCTCTGCTCACGCTGCTGCTTGCAGGCCAAGGGGCGGCAGAAGCGGGTCAGGGCGCTGGCCGACTGCAAGGGTGACAAGGCCCGCRCGCTGACCTTCTCCAAGGGCGAGGTGATCGTGGTGACGCGCGAGGAGGACGAGCAGAGCTGGGTGAGCGCCGCCCGCCGCGGCCTCCTCCATGCACGGCCCACTGCGGCCTCCTGATGCCACTTTCTGCATCCCCAGGTTGGCTTCATTGAGGGCGATGGCTCCCGTACGGGTGTCTTTCCAGCCAGCTTCGTCCACCTTTTGCAGGAGTGACTGGGCTGCCCCTTGTCCCCCTGCGCCCGTGCCCGTGGGAGCTGGGACCTGGCTGGCCTTGCCCCTGGAGACCTGCAGAACCAGGGCACGAGGGCCAAGTGCCTCCGTCCATCCCTGTCCCGCTCTCCACATGCTGGAGGCTGGAACCTGGGGTCGCCCGGTGCCCCTGCCTGCTGCCCCGGATGGGGGCCTGGATCTGCCCCAGCCTGGGGACAGTGTCCCACAGGTGGTGACTCCGAAGGGGCTGCAGAGCTAGCACAGAGAACRGACGCACTTGCTGCATGTGTGGAATGAGTGTTCGGCGCTTGCCGGGGCACCTTTCTCCCTTAGCAGCCTGCGCTGCCTCCAAGGAGGGGGTCCCCCTCCCTTTAGCCCCATCAGGCGAATGGAGCCACCCCCTGGGATGGGGTGTCACCGCCGGACCCCCGAGGCTCCTGTCCCTCAAGCGCTGGGGGTATGCTGCTGGGTGACAGCCCCCAGCTCAGGCAGGAGGGGTGCTGAGAAGGYGGGAGGCCCCCCAGCCACTCCTTGAGGACCATCTCGGGCCTTTTTAGGGACCAATATTTGCCCAGGCCGCTGTCAGATGGCTGCCCTGGTGCCCCACTGTGATTTCATCCCCGTGCCCGTCCCCTTTCTTGGCAAACGGTTCATCTCGGAAAACCGTCCTTTTTTTTTTTGTAAAGAGCAACCTTTCCTCTCTTGGGTTCCCAATAAAGCCGTTGGTTTTGTAGCGGGGCCGTGTCCTTGCCGGGGCGCGCGGCGCGGTGCCCGCTGCGCTCAACGCACCCTTTGTTGGCGCGGGCGCCTCGGGGCTGGCACGGGCGCCGTCGCCTCTGCCCTCCAGCCCCTTATCTCCGCCTGCAGCTGCTCCTGCCGGCACGGCGGGGTGCTGGCGGCGGGGGGGTCTCCCCGCCCGTTCCCGGGGTCCCTGTGGGTGGCGCCCTGGCCCCCCAGGCCGGGCTCCCGCCCCGCGCTCCGGGCCCGCTGGGCGCTCGCGGCCCCTTCGGGCCCTCCCCCGCCGCGATCCGCCCGCCCGGCCGCGGTCCGTAACTGGCCGGGGCCGCTCCTCCTCCCTGCTGCGCTCCCGGACCTGCCTCCCGCCCGTCCCGTCCCGTCCCGTCCCGTCCCGTCCTGTCCCGTCCCTTCCCCGCCTTTCCCCCCGTTTTCCTGCCCGCCGCCCCCCAGCCGGGGCGCAGCCGGGTGCCCTGAGACCCCCCCCGCAACCCTCCATGTCCCCAGAGTCGCGGCGCTCGTTGGGCCGCCGAGAATGGGACCGGCCGAGGAGCTGGTGCGGATCGCCAAGAAACTGGATAAGATGGTGGCCAGGAAGAGCACGGTGAGGCGGGCGGGGGGCGTGGGCGAGAGTTTGCACGCGTGGGCGAGAGTTTGCACGCGTGKGCRMGMRTKTGCACGCGTGTGYAYGCGTGTGCGGGCGGAAAACTGCAACGTGGAGCAGGGCAAGGGGAGGGACAGAAGCCTCGCGGCGATGGGAGGGAGGAAGAGGGGGGGCTGCTTTGCCCTTCCTCCTGCTGCTGCCGCAGCCCAGCGGGGGCCGCGGGGGTCCCCGCTTTGCAGAGCCCCACGGCCCGGCCGCATTGAGCCCCCGTGCCCGTCGTGCAGCWCCCCGCGCTGCCCCCGGCCGGGTTGGCCCTGCTGGGCGACACAAGCGCCCGGGGGCGACAGGTGCCTGGCCCGGGCCCAGCCTCGGGAACCTGATCCGGGCTGGGGACGGAGCCCGCACAGGGCTGGGAACGTGTCCCTTGCACATGGGAGCCGTGTCCTTTGCACAAGTGCGTCTTGTGGCCATTGCACGAGCGTGTGCCAYGTTCCTTGCACGAGCGTGTGCCACGTTCCTTGCATGAGCGTGTGCCATGTTCCTTGCACGAGCGTGTGCCACGTTCCTTGCACGCATACGTGCAGAGCCTCCTGCCCGGGCCAGCGTGTCTCCATACCGGGCTGCCGAGTCCTGCACCCGCCTTTGCCCCCTTCCCGCCGGGTGCAGATCCGTGCTGGCATCTGGTTGCAGCCAGGCCAGCAGAGCCCGGCCCTTGGGGTTAATATTTGACCACTGCGGGCAGTCTTTGCCCGCGGGAGGGCAGCCTACCGGGCAGGGAGGTGGGCACAGCCTCGAGCCCCTGCCCTGGGGCTGTTGGCAGAGTTGGCGGCCGTGCTGCCCATCTCGTCCCGCAGCCTCCGAGCTGCTCCCCGCTCCTTGACGTGCTGCAGAGCGGCAGAACGTGGCTCTTGCCCGCRGAGCTTCGTGTCCAGGGAATGCAGGGGCCACATCCCGGGAGCTGCTCTCACCCAAGCCTTGGCCACGCGGGGCTGGTGGCTTCCAAGCGCCGTCCCCGCTGGGGACAGAGATGTGTGGCTCCATGTACCCACCACGATTACCTGGGCACTTGCTTAGGTTTATCTGGGACTAAAAATATCTGGGAGGAAAACGACCCCGTTGGGATGTGGGCCCGGCTATATTTAACGCCGCAGATGCTGCAGGGCCAGGGGCTGTGCAGAGCTGGGAGCTGCTCCATCTCGTCCCAGGGACCTGCCTTCCSTACAGATTATCTTTTATTTTCTCATCTTGAAGCAGGTAGGAAAAGAGGGCAGCAGTTGACGCGGCCAGTGAAAGGGCTTCCAGCCCTTAGGGCTGCAGGACTCCATGGCCAGTGTTGAGAGGAAGCTGAGGCTCGTGCCCGGCTGGCCGTGGTCAYGTCTGTCCCTGCCTGTCCCTCCTGCCTGCTCTGCAGGTCACCCCGATGAGAGGCATGGGGCCACCTGGGATGTACCCCCAGCTGGTGGCCTTCGCCGGGGACGGGAGGGCTGGGGRAAACGGCTCTCTCCTGCAGAGCCATGGGGCTTCCTGTGAGCTCCTCAACATCTCTCGTGGCTTCGTGTTGCTCCAGGAAGGGGCCTTGGATCTGCTCAAGTCACTGACCAGCTACACGATGACCATCCCGCTGCTGCAGGTGAGAGAGACGGCGGGCGGGTGGTGGCCCTGCAGTGGCGGGGACCTTCCCTCCTGCCCGTTSCCGCTCACGCGCCTGGGTCCGCACTGGAGGCTAAGGCTGTGGAGCCTCTTCCCTCTCCCTAATGCTGATCCGTGTGCTTGTGCAGACGACGCGCATCGGGGTAGCTGTCAACTCGGTGAGGAAACACTGCGCGGACGAGCAGGTGGTGGCCTCGGCCAAGGTCCTCATCAAGAACTGGAAGCGGCTGCTGGGTGAGCAATGCCCAGGACACTGACCCCGGGGTGTCCTGGTCCCCTGAGCCCCAAATCACTTCTGCATTGGGGCTATGGAGAGTGAGGGTGGGATCAAGCTCCCAAGGTTGGTGCTGCCACCTCCCGTCTGCTTGGGATGCGGCTCCTGGGCGGCCCAGCACTGATTTAATCCACGTCCCCTCTGTCCTCCAGACTCCTCCACAATGCCCAAGAAGGAGAAGGAGGTGGACGGGGAGAAGAAGAAGGAGAAAGGGCAGGATTTTCCCAGCTGGTCCAGCGAAGGGGCGAACTCACACCTGGCAAAACATGGCAAGAACCCCCCCGAGAAGCCCAGGGAGAAACACAAGGAGAGGTGGGGGCTGGCACACGCACTGGTGACACCCTGCTGGGGTGGCCTTGGGGACACTGGGGACACCGGTGGAGGGAGGGCTGATCCCCACGTGCTGTTCCAGCACCGCTGTCCCCCCAGGACGCCTGGCAAGCCTGGCTTGCCCGTGGCCAAAGCCCTGACACCAGGGCGGAGAGGGCAGGAGCAGGGGTGGCTCTGGGACGTGGGCATGGGCACGTGGGTGCCTTTGGAGCTGGGGGATGCGGCCCATCCCGCTCAGCGTGTCCCTCCTCATCCTTGCGCTCTTGCAGCAGGACCCTGCYAAGCGCCGCGAAGACGTCGCCTCCGCACGGCAAGAAGGAGAGGTGGGTGCTGGGGCGCAGAGGGGCTGCGGCCTCCCCAGGGCCACGCAGRGGTGTGGGGGTCCCCAGAGCCACCGGGGAGCCCCTCTCATGTGTGGCTCTGCTCCCCGGGCCCCTCCAGGAGAGGCTCTGCGGATGCGAGGGGCTCTGCTGCCGTCTCCTCCTCTTCCTCTCCACAGAAGAGGCCGTCGGGGGAGAGGTGAGGAAGGAGGGAATTAGGAAATGTCCTTACCTGGCAATAGGGATATTCTGGGCAGCTGGTGGGCGAAGGGCTGCATTGCTGGTGGTGCAGCTGGYGCCCGTGGGGTGGGGGTACCCCTGCTGCGGGGCCCTGCTGCTTGGTGAGGGGGTACTGCCCCTTGCGTGGGGCAGCGGGAGGAGGCTGCCAGCCTGGATCCCTCTCTGGGCCCTGGGAGATCCCTGCCTGGAGCAAATCCTCCTGCCTGGGGGTCCCTGCTGCACCCGAGCCTGCCTGCGTTGCCCGAGCCTCCTGGGGCGTGTGGTGCCCTGTGTGCCCCTGCGGTGCCACTGTCCCCGCCGCGTGTCCCAGCAGAGCCTCCGCGGGCTCCAGCCCTTCGCCTGCTCCCACTGGCACCCGGAGAGGCTCCAGTGACGCCAAAGAGGAGAGGTAGGAAGCGGGGCAGGGATGCGCCTGCACATGGGCTGGGCTCCTGCGGCCCCGTGACCGCCGCGACCTGCCCGCTGCAGAGCCGGGAGCAGCAAGGGCCGAGCGGAAGCGGCGCGGAYGCCGGGCAGCCCCGCTCCGTCCCCCACCGCCTGCCTCCTGTCCCGCTGCTTCCTCACGGGGGACCCGGTGCGGGACAAGTGCGTGGAGATGCTGGCGGCGGCGCTGCGCGTGGACGGTGAGCGGGCGCCGCGTGCGACGGGCCCCTGCCGCCCGGCGCAGCCTCATCCGGCCTCCCTGCCCCGTAGGTGACTACCAGGAGCTGGGCGTCAACTGCGAGAAGCTGGCGGCTGCCATTGAGGAGCATATCCTGTGGGACGCGGGGGGACCCGCCGCCGTGGCCTGGAGGGGCCGGGGGCATCGCCGCTGCCCGGGGTGCAGGGGTGGCAGGGCGCGAGGCGGCGGTGACGGGCTCTGCTGGGACCCGCGGGGCCGTTGCCTGCAGTGCCAGCGAGCGGCACCGAGGTGCAGCCCAGCACGGCCCAGCCCGAGCTGCTGGTGTGGTCTGCAGGCTCCGAGGCTGCTGGGGTGGGAGCAGGCTGAGCTCCCTGCTGCTCCCCAGGCTCCTGGTGGGGTGATGGTCCCYGCTGTCCCACACTTGCAGGGGGATGCGAAAGAGCATCCCAAATCCCAAACCCCAAGCTGAGCATGGCCTTRAACTCCCAAAGAGGGAAGCCCTGGCACGTGTTCTTGTGAAATGTGGCCTCCCCCTTTGAAATSTGGCCACCGCCAAGTGGCCTTAGCCCCAGTGATGACCACGCAGAGCTTGCAGAGCGGCARCTGGTGCCCGGGCGCTGGCGTCTCCACCGCGCTGTGCCGTGGATTCCTTGACGGGCAGCACAAATCTTCCAGGAGCTGAAGAGCACGGACATGAAGTACCGCAACCGGGTGAGGAGCCGCATCAGCAACCTCAAGGACCCCAAGAACCCCAACCTGCGGAGGAACGTGCTGTGCGGGGCCATCGCGCCCGCCCTCATCGCTCGCATGACCGCTGAGGTGTGTGGAGGGACGGGGCCTGTGTCCAGGGTGACCCACAAGATGGGGAGCGGGGATGGAGCCTTCTTGGCTCCCCAAAATCCACTCAYGAGGGGAGACCCAAAGGCCAGCTGGGTCTTGGCTTGGTGGTGCCCATGTGGTGCATGGGCTTGTCCCACTACATGGAGCAAAATAACCATCTGTCAGACCCAAGGAGCCTCATGGGTCCATGGCTTTCTGGTAAAACTCTTGGTGGGTCCAAACCTTTGGAGATGGTGTTCACTTGAACATAAGGAGGTGGCATCAGCCTGAAAACTTTAGGTGCTGCTCCCCTGGAGCTCTRGGACCAGGACAAATCATTGCAGTCACTAACCAGCACCTGAGGATGGGCTGGTCCATTCCCAGGGGGCAAATTTGGAGCTGGTGCGATGGGGCGAGTGGTGGCATCTTGGGCTTACCTGCAACCAGGACAGCTGCCTTGGGCACAGGTCSCTCCTCTGACCGTGGCCACCACTTGTGGCAGGAGATGGCCAGTGACGAGCTGAAGGAGCTGAGGAATGCCATGACCCTGGAAGCCATCCGCGAGCACCAGATGGCCAAGACGGGCGGCACCGTCACCGACCTCTTCCAGTGTGGCAAGTGCAAGAAGAAGAACTGCACCTACAACCAGGTGAGCCCCTCAGCACTACCCGGGGCCTGGGGGGTCTCCCTGTCTCCGTGGTTCAAGGACAGTGCAGGGGCTCTGCTGACCTGTCCCCCGTCCCGTCCCCAGGTGCAGACACGGAGTGCGGACGAGCCCATGACGACCTTTGTGCTGTGCAACGAGTGCGGGAACCGCTGGAAGGTCGGCGCTGGCAGCGGGAAGGGATGTGCGGGTGTCCCCAGGGTGCCCAGATCTGCTCTCCCTGCCGTGTGGGTGGCTCCTGCGGGTGCAGGGGGGCGCCGGGGGCAGCTCTGGGCTCACCCTCCTCCTCACTTCTCCCGCAGTTCTGCTGACGGCGCCGCCTGTGCTGCACATGGATGGAGAGGCCGCGGCTGGAGCCCCGGCAAGGGACACATCCGCACGTGGAGGGCGGCTCTGCCCCTGCTGGCAGTGGGGCTTGGGGGGCCGGYGCCTGGGGGACTGTGGGGCCCTGCACATGTTGGCACCGGGGGCTGTTCTCTCTGTCCAGGGGGGTGGCAAGGGGCTCCCCTCGAATCCCGCTTGCCCCTCTCCTAAACGCTGGCTGAGCTCGCGGGGCCATTGTGGGGACACCCCYGCTGCCCCTCCGTGCAGTGACATCCAGGAACTGCGTCCCCGGGAAGGGGCTGGCACTGCGGCAAAGCACGTGGGGAGCGACCCTCCGGCTGGAGCAATAAAGGTGTGAGAGGTTCCCGTGGCGCAGCTGCTTCCCGAGGAGACCCGGCCGGAGAGCCGCCGGTGCCGCCGGCGCCCCTGGGTCCGCTCCCGAGGCCCCGGCTGCTCCCTGGGGGCTGTGGCTGCATCTGAAGCCGCCCGGTTTGAGTCCTGGCAGCGGGTCCTGGGAGCCCCACGTCCCACCCAGGCTCTGCGTTTCGGACCCCCCACAGGACGGAGCCATTGGAGCTCCCTATGCATCCCAGATGGGGACGCTGGCCAGGGCRGCGCAGCCTGCAGCTCCTGGGGCACTGGGGCCAGCTCGGGATGCGGAATGGGAGCCTGGCTGGGGCTCTGTGTCCCGCGGCGGAGCTTTCCTGAATCCTGGCTGTGCAGCAGGACTGAAGCACCCCGAGGTGGCCAGGGGCTCCATGGGGACACAGCCCCGGCCGTCGGTGCCTCCCAGAGCCTGTGGGAAGGAAGCAGGGGACGGATTTAACTCCCGTTGCTTTGCTTGCAATTCCAGGGCAGGGACCGCACCATAAATCCAGACAGGTCCGTGCTCCAGAGCATCACCAGGACAAGGAAGGAAAAGGGGAGAGCTGAGGGCAGGGGGGACAGAGGGCATTCCCATCTGGGATTTCCCAGCTCTTTTCCCATCAACATCTACTCCTCTCTTGTCCCCAAGGGTGTCCCTGGCCGAGGAGTGTTTTCCCAGGGTTCTGCAGGGAGAAGCGGGAAGTGGCTCTGGAGCCGTGGACATCAGTGGGGCTGGAGGTCGTGAGGGGCTCCGAGGTGTCCGGCTGTCGTGGGGCACTGAGCGCTGCCCCCTCATCCGCCGCTGCTCTTCTCTGCGACGTCTTTTCCCCTCGGCCTTGGGGGTCACTGCAAAGAAAAAGCAATAAAAGCTGCGCTGGCAGCTCCGCCGTTTCCATGGCAACCTGGAGCCGCCCCCTCCTAGTGGCCACAGTGGCCAGTGGGTCCCTTGGGGCTGGCAAGGGCAGTGCATCCTGTGGGAGCATCCCGGCGTGTCCCGTGGGAGCGTCCCGGCCGCGCCTGGTGCCCTGTGCCATATCCCTTGGCTGCAGCGGTGCAGGCCCACGTCCCGAGGGAACTGCCAGCCTGCAGGATTTGCCTCCCAGGATTTGGCTCCAGGGGTGGCCATGGGGCTCCCTGAATTTGTGCTGGACTCGCAACCGCTTTGGAGAAGCCCCCAAAACACCCTGTGCCAGACAGAGAGGGATTTTTTTTTTTTTTGCTTTTTTTCCCTTTCCCCCCCCCCTCTTTTTTGCATGTTTTCCCCCCATTTTCCCGCTTTGCACAGCAAAGCCTTGTGACAGCAGACCTTGGCTGGACCTGCTCTCCCAAGCGGACGCCCGAGGCCGAGCAGCCCCAACGCACAGAACAAAAACACTGATTCGGAGTGATCAGACTCTGGTTTTCTTCCTTTATTTTTTTTTTTTTTAGTTTTAGTTTTTCCCCCGAAAGAATAAAAGAAACAGGTCAAAAAAGCCGTCTGTCGCTGGCAACCTTTGCGAGCGAGTGGCAGGGCTGGCGGGTGCCCAGCCGTGGGTGCCGCGTGCGATGACTCAGCCCAGCCCCAACCGCGCTGTGCAGAAAAGCACAAAATTGACGTTTTTATTTTTTTTTCCTTTTTTTTTCCCCAAAGAAACATCAGTGCCCTGATATTTCTGGGCCAAAGGAGGCCTGCGGAGCTGGTGGAGCGCTTTGATCTCGGCTGCTTCCGATTGCTTGGCAATTGCAGTGCTTGGAGCACATCTTTCTGCCCTAGCTGAGCGGGTCGAGCGGGAGGACCGGAGCAAAGCTCCCCTTGCTGGAGGGAAAAAGCCCTTTCCGGAGGGAAGTGCAAGGGGAGCAAGGCCTGTCCTGGCCCCTGGGACCTGGGGGAGGTGGTGGCCGTGCAAGGGGCTCGCGCGCGGCGCTGGGCGCATTGCGGGGCGCGTCCAGCTCGTCCTTGGGGCGGGAATGCGGCTCCGGAGCCGGAGGGAGCTGGAGCGCCCAGGGCCTTGGGAGCATCACGGGCTGCTGCCCTTCCCGCTCGGAGGCAGTGACTCATCCCTGTCCCCGAGGATCCAGCCGCGCCAGGATGCCCGGCAAGGTGGAAACGCAAGGAGAAAGGGGGAAAAACTGCTCTCTCCTGTGATAGCCTGGATGCAGCAAGGAAAGAAATACATCTATTTGCGTATAAATGTATGTGTGTTTGTGTATAAATATATACTCCTTTCCTGCCATGCTCTGTGATGATGCCTAGGTGCCACAGTGCGAAAAGATGCAATGAATGGAATAAATTTCAATAAAGAGGCAGAAGAAGATCTATTTCCAGCCTGCCCCCCGTAAATAAAAGCCTCGCGTGAGGAAAGGGCCTCCGTTAGCCAAAGAGTTTCTTTAGGCTTCAGTCATTTAATATTGCCGTTAAGTCCTGGTGTTCAGCTCTCAGCCATGAAACATCCTCAACAAGCATCTGCCTTGAAACACAGGTGCTTTRAAATTATATTTCTGTCTATATTTAGGCACAGCTTTGAGTCTGGAGCTGGTGCAAATGCGGAACAGSCGCCCTGGGCTTCTCCGTAGCCTTAGTCCTTATTGCAGTGCGTGTGGGGCTGCCCGAGCGCCCCCCAAGGATGTGCCGGCTGGAGCCTGTGGGATTTCTGCACTAAAAAGGGGCTTTGGCAATAAAGAGAGGAATAATTAAATAAATAGAAAGAGGGAATCGCTGAAGAGGAGTGAGAAATCCCAGTCTCTGCTGTCTCTGGGTTTCCAGGCTGGTGAGGAGGAAGGAGGGCAAGAGGAAGATGCCTTTGAAGCTGCGGGGAACGTGGGAGCCTCCACCAACATTAACACCCTCCTCTTCCYGACATTCCCGGGTCCCGCATCCCTCTCCATGCTGTCCCTTAGACACCCGTCCCCACCGCACCACCGGAGCCGCTGGAATCCCCCAAGGAAAAACACCCACTCGAGGCTGCCGGCGATTGAACCGCTTGACTCGYGCACTCGATACTTATTTAATTGCCGCTATTAATCAGCGCGATYGATGCCCACGGATCCAGCTCTGGCATCTCCAGCCTGGCGGCCAAAGAGCCCCCCGGACCCCAACCTCTGCCAGGCTTTTCTGCTGGCAAAGCAGCTGCCTCCTCCCCTCTATCCCAATCCCTGAGCTCACGGACCGTCCTGGCCTTGGCCCTGGGTCTGTGGATGGAGGAAATGTGGCAAAMGGAGGCAGCAAATCCTGGGGCTGTGGCAGGAAGCTAAAAGGTTGCATGAAAAAAAAYGACTATTTCATATGTTGTGGTGGAAAGTCCTTCTGGGTGTGCAGGGCTGCTCTTGACCTGGTCTCCTCGGTTTCTTGTAGATGCGAAAGAGAGACACAGGGATGCTCCAGGCATCTCCATCCCAGCATCTCCGTGTGATCCCGGCACTGACGAAGTCAAAAATAAAAACCCCTCTGCAAGAGCCGGGGTCTCCCGGCCTCTTTCCTCTCCCCGGCGCCCGCTCTCCCAGCAGGACTTTGCCTTGCAGATGGGAACGGGTCCGAGCGCGGTTTTTGCTGGCGCCTTTTCCTTCCTTCCCTGCCAGAGGAGCTGCTTGGGCTGGAAAAGAACAAACCCAAAGTTCCTCTCTTGGCAGGGAGAGGGAAAACGGGAAAAGTGCCCGGCAGCAGCTGCCCGTGGCCTCTGGAAGGCTGAATTTGCCCGGGGTTTTTTATTCCTTTGCTGCTGCAGGGAGGGAAGCGCTGGGAAGGAGGGAGAGGAAGGGTAAGGAAACTATGGAAGTTCCTGTTATACCTCACAGCCCCGCGTTATCCAACAGCAGATTCCCAGCTCTTGGTGGAAGGTGAGGGCAGGATGGAGATAAAAGCTACGTTATATTGATATTTTCTMTATGATAGRGAAAATCATCATYGTTTGGAGCCCCTGAGAGCTGAGGRAGCCTTGGGACAGAAATGAGCTCCTCTACCTCCCCATTCAGGGATTCCCATGGACTGGGCTGGAGCGCTGCCAGCTGCGCTGGGATAGTTTTTAGAATCGTTTTAATTAAAACCAAGGAATTCTGGAAAGGAAGAGGCTCTTCCCCAACGGTGCTGCACAYGCTGCCGGCGGCTGCTCGCAGGGGATGGGGGCAGCAGGCAGAGCCGGGACAGGGTGGAAAGGTGTACGTGGCCATTCCCAAACAACGCTCCCAGCATTCTCTTGCAGGCACCTTCCCTGCCTCAGTTTCCCTCCTTTTGGAAGCACCTTGGGCACTGCAGCACTGAGTGGATTGCTGGCCAGGCCTGCTGAAGATTTTCCGCTTGTTTTCTGCATCTGTTGGGTTTATTTTTGACGTTGCGGCTGAAAAAGGAAACCGCAGCGAGCGGCGCAAGGCGGGGGCGCCCCGCAGGCCCCCTGCGCACGGCGGCATCCCGCCCTGCCCGGGCAGCGGGACCTGGCACGAGGACAGCAGGATGCCCGCCGCCTCTCAAGGATGTGACGGGGCAGCGGGGGGTCCGCAGTGGGAGCAAAGGCCCAGACAAAGGCGGGGGCGGGAGAAGGACAGGGGGCTGCTTGACCCCCCCCCCGCATCCTCCCAAGGATCTGGATTCCCTGGATCTGCCCGGATCCCGGTCACAGGGAGCACCCYGCTCAGTGCCCCCCGCTCCTCCCGAAGGGATCCAGGTAGGGATGAGGGGGCTGGCAGGGACGCTGTTGTGGGACAGGGGTGAGGGACACGGTAGGGACGGYGGCAGGGACGGGGGTCGCGGAAGGAAAATCCGCGCGGGGGGGCGGGCAGCGGCAGCGCCGCAGGTGGGAGCTGCCAGGGGAGAGGCGGGCGGGGCGGGAGCCAGGCCCGGCCCCCCGCCCCACGTGGGACACGCGCGGATTTATAAGACGTCCCCCCCGCAGCGGGTGCGGGAGGCTGTGCGCGGCGGCGGCGGCGGCGGGACTCGAACCCGCGGTGCCCGGCCATGGAGCCGCCCGGCGGCCACAACGGCAGCGCCTGGGCCGCCGCCCTGGGCAACCTCAGTGCCAACGGGAACGCCAACGGGACGGCCTCGCCGCGGGCCCAGGGCGCCGCCTCCGTCCTCATCGCCGTGGTGGTCACCGCGCTCTACGCCGTCGTGTGCGTCGTGGGGCTCCTGGGCAACGTGCTCGTCATGTACGGCATCGTCAGGTGCGAGCGGGGCAAYCGGGGCAGCTGCTGCCCCCGCCTTTGCAGCGCGGAGGGGGTGTGTGTGCGTGCGGGGCTGGCCGTGCGCGGGGCTGGCTGGGTGCGTGCGCTGGGAGACAGGGTGTGAGCGTGGGAGCCGGCGTCCGGAGCGGGAGCACGGCTGGGGTGAGCATCACCGCGTGCAGGAGAGCGAGCGCACGGCGGCAGGGAGCATGTGCCGTGTGYGGGATAATGCCGGGAGTGAGTGTGCACTGGAGGGAGGTGAGCGTGCACTCGGGGGGGGCATGCACCGGCGTGAGCGTGCATTGCATGTGAGACCGTGACAGAGGGTTGTGGGGTGATCCTGGGTGCTCCTGAGCTCAGATAGCCCTGGGCTGGGTGTGTGCACAGGGAGAGCATGTGTGCGCATGGTGTGCAAGGGAGCACACGTGTGTGTCTGCGTGGAGAAAAGCTGGCTGTCTTTCTGGGGCGAAAAGCTCAGAAGAGAAGATAAGAGCACATGTGCATGGGGCAGTGCAGGAGCTGGCTCTGGCACCGGGACCTGATGGCCTCCAAGAGAATTACTGAATCCTGTCAGATTTGCAGCAGCAGCAGCAGCTCCTGTCAGCCCAGTGGCACCCGAAGCTGATCCCATCTGCCCGGCGCCCTGCACCGGTTCCATCAGCCACCTCCTTGGGAGCCCTTGGTGTGTGGCCCCCAATGCCAGCAAAGCCCCTCRGGGTTGGTCACCCCAAAGCCCTCGGTGATGCTCGCACGCCTGGGGCTGGGTGGGAGGCACCGTCCTGGATTGCCCCAGCCAGCAGCTCCCCAGTGGATCTTTTAGCCCCTTTGCAGTGAGGGGAAGGGGGCYGATGGATGGGCAGCAGCACCATGCACTGACCCTACCTGTCACTAGATGCAATTCTTGTATTGACTTCAAAACCAGATGGAAAATCAAAGGCAGTTCGGAGCATTGGCCGTGCTGTAACTGGCTGTCTTTGCGCAGCCCGAGCTCCCGCAGCAGCCCCRGCCACGTGTGCATCCCATCTCCATGGTTTCTCCATGGTTTCTGGCGCCCCGGTCGCCACCCCGACGCTGGAGCTGCCCCCGCGCGCTGGGGAGCGGGAGGCGAGTGCGGCTCCGCCTTGGAGCTCTCCGCAGTGGGGCTGCAYGGGGGCACTCGGTCCCGCTGCCCCGGGACACGTCGTGCACCCTGGGGAGCCTTGGCAGAGCCTATGGGCACCTGGACGGAGTGGGTCCCCCCGGGCTGAGGGACCCAAGCGACGCATCGGAATGAGGATGCTGCAAAGCCTGGATCTAAGATCCCTTTGGAGCTGCGTCAGCGCCTGTGTGTCCCAATGAGCTCGCGCCAGCCCCGGAGACCCCTTGGCTGTGCTCGACACCCCGAGCCGGGCTCCTTAACCCCAGTGTGGTGGATTGACTATTCCCAGGCTTTTTTCCACTTATTTTTTTTCTTCCCCACTCCTTTATTTTGCAAGCAGTGCAGCCTCCCAGAGGCTCCCAAGGCCTCAAATCTGGGGTCAACCCCTGTGTCCCTCCCCACACTGCTCTTGCCTAGGGAGGCGCAGGCTCCTGCCCCGGCGCAGCTGCAGCGGGACCCGAATGGCTCAGGCGGCAGCGCTGTCCGTGTCCCTGTCCTTCCTCTTCACTGCCGGCAGTCAGGAAAACAAAACAGAGATGAAAGCACCACAAATTCTACCCCCGCCCCCCAAAAAAAGAAAGTCTTTTTTTAATCAAGGGGAGCCAGAAACCTGAAAACACCAAAAATATTCTCTAGATTTCAGGTTAACCCAGAATGAAAATTTTCTTTATGCTTCCAGGATGGAAGCTCTTTACTCCCCGTGCACCCTCCAATTCATTGCACATCCCCACCCTGTTTCTGCCCAGGTTATTGCACATCCCCCATGCAATCTATGAGCCAAGGCCACCATCGTTCCCCCAGCAGCAGCCGGGTTAATTCCCCCTGCGCTGGGGCTGGGCACAACCCTGGGCACCCTGGTGCAATTGGCTGCTGGTGCCTGGGATGCTCCCGGCGGGTTCCTACATGCAAGGAGGGGTCCTCGTGCAATTGCTAATCTGGGAGCCACCCAGACGCTGGGAGCCGTCTGGGGTGCTCGGAGGTGGGACCCGCTGGAAGGAGTTAAGCCAGAGGCCCCCGTGCTGCTTCCAGATGGCCTGCACTTCCGGAGCTCATCGATCCAATGTCTGCGAGCGAACTCGAGAGGCCGGATAATCACGATTTACTGGATGGAAAATCAGATACAGGCAGTTTGGGGAGGTAAAGGGCACCATGCGACTGGTTCAGGGAAATGGAGTAAATCAATTTAATTGAGAAAAAAGACACTTCTCTCTCTGGGTTGTCTTTGAGCTCTGAGCAGAGGAGCTGCAGGAATGACCAGCAGCTCCCTGGTCAGTTTATGGGTGAGACCTTGAGAAGGTCCAAGTACCTCTCTAGGCTGGGATGAGGGTCCCAGCGTTTGGTGTGCACAAGAGTGTAACCCCATCACCATGATGCACATGGGCCTGCGCGGTGCGCACGTAACAGCCCCTTCTTGGCCCCCCTCCAGGTACACCAAGATGAAAACGGCCACCAACATCTACATCTTCAACCTGGCGCTCGCGGACGCGCTGGCCACCAGCACGCTGCCCTTCCAGAGCGCCAAGTATCTCATGGAGACGTGGCCCTTTGGGGAGCTGCTCTGCAAAGTCGTGCTGTCCATTGACTACTACAACATGTTCACGAGCATCTTCACGCTCACTATGATGAGCGTGGACCGCTACATCGCCGTGTGCCACCCGGTCAAGGCGCTCGAGTTCCGCACGCCGGCCAAGGCCAAGATCATCAACGTGTGCATCTGGGTGCTCTCCTCTGTCATCGGAGTGCCCATCATGGTCATGGCGGTCACCAAGACGAAAGGCAAGTGGCTTCTGGGAATGGGGCCTCATCTATCCATCCCGGGGGGGGATGCCTTGGCCGGACCCTTATGGCCACCTGCCATAAGTAAAGCCACCTGCTCCTGGAGCAGGTTGAAGCTCAGTGATGGGTACTCCTCCATGTGACAGCAAGAATGTCCTGCCAAATAAAAGTCACCACAGTGCCACTTTTTAAGAGAACTTCATAGTATTCTCTCTGCTTTAATCCCTCTTTGATCATCTTCTCTCCTGCAGATGGGATGGTGTTGTGCACACTCCAGTTCCCCGATCCCCCCATCTACTGGGACACCGTGACCAAGATCTGTGTCTTCATCTTCGCCTTCATGGTGCCTATCTTGGTCATCACCATCTGCTACGGGCTCATGATCCTCCGCCTGAAGAGTGTCCGCCTTCTGTCTGGCTCCAAGGAGAAGGACCGCAACCTGCGCCGCATCACACGCATGGTGCTGGTGGTCGTCGCAGCCTTCATCATCTGCTGGACGCCGATCCACATCTTCGTCATCATCTGGACCTTGGTGGACATAGACAAGAAGAACCCCTATGTGGTGGCCGGCTTGCACTTCTGCATCGCTTTGGGTTAYACCAACAGCAGCCTCAACCCTGTCCTCTATGCGTTCCTGGATGAGAATTTCAAGAGGTGCTTCCGAGAGCTGTGCCTGCCTTTCCGGGCCCGCACGGATCCCAAGGGCTTCTCCCGCGGCAGAGGCACCGTGAGGGAGCCCGTGTCCACCTGCACGCGCTCCGAGGGCCTCCGCCAGCCRGCCTGACTGGCCGGGGGAGGCCGCGAGCAGCGCGGGGACGAGCTGCGCTCCGAGGTCACCCACGTCACCAGCACGGAGCTCTAGCAGGGCCGGCACTGCCACGGGGACTGCTCCAAAATACTGCTGTTTTTCTATAAAAGAAAAGAGAAAAAAAAAGAGAGTGACTGCAAAGACCTGCAAAGGGGGTGAAGAAATGGAGAAATAGGCTCTTTTTTTCTCTTAGGAAAAGTAAGCTATTGCAAGAAAGGCATCATGTTGCAATGCCACTGCTGGGGCAGCATCCGCAGGAGCTGCTGCCTGGGCAGTTTGGGCGCYGGGAGAGCAGATGGCTCCTGCTGGCCCCGCTCGCTGCCGTCATCGYGCTCGCTGGGCTAATCGCAGGGAAGGCGGCGCGGGGCCGCGGCACCTGGGGCCTGGCGGCGGGCGCCGCCGCTTCCCCCCTCGGCTGCAGCGCTTGGGCACGCGGGAGGACGTGGCCTCTCCGGCGCAAGGATGAGGAGAGGCCCGGGAGAAAAGGGGCTGGAGTTGCCCCTTGGGAGCTCAAACAACCCCGATGTCCTGCAAGGAAGGGCCTCTCGCTTGGCATYGCCGCCCTCCGCATGTCTCCGTGCGCACGGGATGCTGCAAGGACGGGCTCGCCCAGGAGAACGCAGGGGGACCTTGAGCCTCACCTCCACCCTGGGACCTGAGACCTGACAGATCGAGACACCSATGGGGAAAGGCAGAGGGCTGCTCATTCCTTAAATCCTGCGGCATCTTGTGCTTTTCTCCCGCCTCGGCCCCTGCTCCTGCAGCCCCGCTGCTGTCCCAGCCACCCGCCGTTTGGGGCAAGTTGAGCTGAATGAAACCGAGGAATTTTCCTGGCATGGGACAGATGCCATTTTTTTTTAAACAGGCTTCAATCCAGCCTCCCTTTCCCAAAAGCAACTTCTGCAGCGGCCACTTGCATTGGGAAATGAGGTGAATCCCAACAGAGCTGGGAACTTGTGGCCACCCTGCTGCATATCTCTGTATGCATACATATACATATATATATATATTTATATATAAAATGTACAACTCTACAACTCTCTGGAATGAAGGTGACTGCCGGTGCCCCCGCTGCCGCCTACACAGGAGCAGGATCCTGGGGCTGGACCTGGCTCTTCTCCTGGGCTTGAGCTTGCACRGCCAGCCCCAGCCCTCAATTGGGGCGTTTTGTTGACATCCCTGTATAATAAAAGCTGCTTTTTAGAATAAATAAATAAAYTAAAGCGCAGCAGAGGGTTTCTGGGTGTCCTTTGCCACGTGGGTGCGCAGTGAAATGAGTTCAACCCCTGCTCTGTCCCTCAGGAACAGCTCTGGTTAACGACAGCACAAACTGCCTCCCTGCAGCAAGATCACATCATCTTCCCCCATCCTCTCAGGTATGGGGAAAACCCACCCCAAGTTTTCCATGTTTTATAACTTCTTTGCATTCACCCCTTTAGCTTGGGTGGCTTTGCCAGCCCTAGCAGCCAGAAGCCTCTGCCCAGGATCGGCGGTGTTGCTGCTGCAAGTCACTCGCACTTGAGATTTATTTTAATAGCCAAGTCATTGGGCCCTAATTACATTTGTAATTTAAATGTAAATGGGGACTGGGTGCCAATGCAAGAGAGGGAGGTGCTGCAGCCTGGCACCCCACTCCTGCCCACGATGCCATGGGATATTGGAGCATTTATCACATCCATGGGGTGGGTCATGGAGGTGCCAAAGAGCAGGAGAATCCGGGCCAGGAGATGCATCCCTGGTGACCACGTTTGCTTCTGCAGGCCCATTCCTCTCACTAATCAACCACCTAGCAAGGCCTCATGCAGCAGGCTTGATTCTTGCACACGTGATTAACGAACCCCCCGCCCGCTCCTTTGTCTGCACCAGCGTCATGCGGCAGCCTCGCCTTGCACATCACCGGTGAGTGCAGCAGCATGCAAATCCAGTAGGAATCGTTCCCAATTCCCAGGATTTCTTAACACTGCCCTCTAGCTGGGCGGGAGCAGAGAGGTCCCAGAGATCCAAATCAGAGACCGCCAAGGGGCTCCTCTGCCAGCAGCTCTCCCTAGATAGGTGTGTGTGCATATATATTCACACACACATGCACATATATACACATACGTATACATACCAGCAGTTCTCCCCCAGCAGCTCCTGGGGCGCGCGGGCGACGTGTCAGCATCGCCCCACGGCCGCTGGAGCCCCTTGTTAAACCTCCCTGCCCTCCTCTGCTCCACACAGAGCGGCGGTGTCGGCGCCAGCGCGACGGGCACCCCAAAGAAAGACCTTGCACAGCGGGCGRTGCAGCATGCGGGGGAAGCAGAAAATAAAGGTGGATTCGTCGGTGCTGAGCCCTCCTCAAGCACCAGCCGCCCCATGCTCCGCATCCCGGCCCTGCTCTGGGCTAGGGACGGTCACGGCTGTGGTGCCCCCGGCCCCTCTGTGCTCCAGGGTGGTGCCCCCCGTGGCTCCGTGTCCGCCTCGCACTCGCGTGCGGCGCCGGGACCCAGACGCTGCAGCCCAGCCCCTGCCCGGGGCTCCCACGGGGACCCAGGCTGCCCAGGGCTGCCTGTGATCCCAGTGGCTGCCCTGCACCCAGGGCACCCGCGGCAGCCCCTTGAGCCTCCCTTCCCGGCACATCCCGGCCCGCGCTTCCCCTCTGCCCCAGCCTGCCCGGGGCAGAGCCCTGSGGACAGGGCTGGCGCTGGGAGCGAGGGGCCCTGCAGCACCCGCGTGGTGAAAAAGCAGCAAAGGGGATTTATCAAAACTCAGTTTATTCCAAAGATTAAAAGATTACAGCTTTTTTTGTCTCTTTCTCATTTAATCGACCAAAATACTTTACATTTTTCTTTTTAAAAAAATCAACCTATTCTGAGCATTGTACAATTCCCCGCCCTGCACACACACACACACATCCCACATTCTCCCCTATTGCTATAACTTAACTTATAAAAACTATCTTTGCAGCAGCCCCTGCTCAGGCCGGGTACCTGAAGGGCAGTGGGGAAGGAAGAACTGGGGCTGGCGCGAGGGGCGTCGGGCCGGGAGCTGCCGGTGCTGGGGACAAGGGACAGGCCGGGCACTTTGTGGGGACAAAGGCAGGGCTGGATTTTGGCCTCTGCCTTCGCAGGGAGGCCCTAAGCAGGGAGAAGAAAGGAAGCAAAGAAAGAAGAACAACTCCTGAGAGGAAAACACATTTGGTTGGATTTCCAAAGGTGTCCGGGGTGTGAAAAGCAGGGAGGGTGGGAGGAGCCAGCCCCGGGTCGCTGGCAAATCCAGGTGTTCGATGGGGCGAGCTGCTCCTCGCCTGCCTTCGGGTGGGATTGGGGCTCGGAGCCCTGGGCAGCCACGTGAGGGAGGCAGCAGCCACCACCTCAAGCAGGGACCGGGGCTCCGAAGCTGAGGCCGCATCCATGGAGCCCGGCCAGGCCCCGTCCCACCTGCCGACACAGCAGGAGATCCCCGCGAGGGAGGCATCATGCGGGAGAAACCCGGCTRGGAGCCTCCCCCATGACCCTCCACACGGGAATGTTTCTTTTACGGTGAGAATTCATCCCAAGCAACTGGAGAGGGGCACAAGAGACCTGGGAAGTCTAAGAAGCCCAAACCCTTCTGTGGAGGAAGGGACAAGACCCTCAGCTTCACCGGGCCAGGATTTTTTTTTTAAATGCAACAAAAACCAGTTTGCAAATCCATGTTATGGGACCAAGCAGGACTGGGGGAGCTGAGAGAGCACCTGGCACTGAGGGAAGACAGACGCAGCTTCCAGAGGGGGAAAGGGAGCACCCTGAGGAGCTCTGCTCCAGCCCCACACATGTGCCCAGGGCCCCTGGAGCATCCCGACTGCGGGGCCCAGCTCTGTGAGTCTCCCATCCTCCCCAGCACATCCCACAGGAGGACCCCGGGGAGCAGAGCCGGGATCCGGCCCCCCTCGCGCCCTGAGCGCCCCGGGGCCGAGGGCGGGTGTTGAGTGTGTGCGCGCAGGCCCGCGTCGCGGAGCCGCTTCATCAGCTCTGCTCCCTGTCCTTCACCAGCAGCACGGTGTGTTGGCCGCCGCTGGACACGGCCAGGACCACGCGGTTCTCCAGCTGCTTGCCTGTCATCTGCACAGGGCTCCAGACGTCGTCCTCCTCACCGGTGCCCAGCTGGTAGTTGGTGCCCATGCCCCAGGCAAACGCTCGTCCTGCAACAGAGGCCACGTTAATAGGGAGCGGACGCGGCAGCCCAAGGAAAGGGAACCGGCTCAGACTTGGGCTGGGGACGAGTCCCAATGAAGCCACTCAGGAAGGGGACACGGAGCGGCATTCCCGGCCGTCCAGCACTCACCGTCGCTGCTGACGGCGTAGCCGACCGATGCGCCGCACGCCACGGAGGAGATGCTGGGGAGCTCCGGGATCACCGTGGGGGTGCTCTGCTCCTCCGCCCCTTCGCCGAGCCCCAGGCGGCCGTACTCAGCCCTGCCCAGGCTGTAGGCTTTACCTGGGGCACGGGGGACACAGCAGGGGTGATTCCAGTGGGAGGGCGCAGCCTGCGGTCGGAGCCTCCCTTCCCTGGGGAGCAACCCCCGTCCCTACTCACCCTCCGAGTCCATGCACACCGTGTGGTGCTGCCCGCCGGAGAAGCCCACCCAGGACTTGGTGGAGTTCTTGAACGATGTCAGGTTCTGTGGAGAAAAGCAGGGCTCGGTGCCCTGGGTCCCTGCGGGACGGAGAGGCACCAAACCCAAGCAAATCAGGAATGCCAACATGGACTGCCCATGCCAGCCCCGGGCAGCTGAGACCCCCATCCAGGAGCTCACCCCCATCAGAGACCAGCCCAGTTCTGAAACCCCCAAAATGGAAGGTCAAACTTTTCGTCAAGTTCACTGGCTGCAGGGACTTAAATCCATAGCTTTGCAAGGTGACTTCCCACCCCACTCCCAGCTCTGGGATGATCTGCAGGAGACTCCTGGAGGAGGGTGCATGGGGGGGGTACAAGGTGCTCTCGACCAGGGGAGCCCTGCAGGGTCCTCATTTTGGACCAGCACACCCAGGGAACCAGGAGTCCGTGGCCGCACCGAGCAGGGCTCAGACGTGATGCTTACCCAGTTGGTGATAGTTGGAGAGGCCAAAACCATAGACATGGCCCTCCTGCGTGACAGCAAAAGTGAAGTAAGCGCCACAAAAGGCATCCTGGAAGCGCATCTTGCCTCTGTTGCCTCTGCCTTTGACGGGCACGCGCTGAGGGACCAGCAGACGCTCTGGGGACAGCAAACAAGGGATCAGATGCAAACTCACGTTTCGTGATCTCTTCATCCCCACCCAGATCCAGGTCACGCAATCAAGCAGTTGATTTCCAAGCAGCCCTTGGGCACCAGGGAAAGAGGCCGGGTGCAGCAGAACATGCAGGCTCCTCAGCCAGGCCAAGGGCTGGTGCCCAAGGACAAGAGCCRCGCTCGCCCCAGCACCAAAGAGCCCTCAGCAAAGCAACTCACGCAGGCCCTTCCTTCCGCCGCGGTTGGCAAAGAGCTCCGGCACCCTGCCCAGCTGGCCCTGCTCGCCACAGCCACACGTGAACAGGTCGCCGTCCACCGTCAGCATCACCAAGTGGTCATTCCCTTGGAGGAAGAGTGAGAGGGTGAAGCAGCAGCCGCAGGCTCCAATCCCCTAACGGGGTAGCAGAGCCTGGGTCAGAAATCTCGCGTTTAAAACTCCAGCTAGACAAGTCCTTCAGGTCCCAGGGGAATTTACTGTGTCAGATACCTGGAYGCCAGGGTCTACAATGGCTAAACACTGAGCTCAATCTCTCATTTCAGTCCCTGGATGGAAACTCCAAAGAAATTGGCTGGGGACATTTAGAGGCCTGGGTCACCCTTGGCCTCACCTGGGCCTCTCCTCAGCTTCTCCATGTCTACAGGCCAGGGCTTTGACCCCCATGTACCAAAGAATTTTGAAGTCAGACAGGGCTGCATGTTAAAGCCACTGCTGTCACTAGAAGAGACTCAGAGCGTGCTCGCTCAGTAGCCAGGAGAGAGCAAACACGCCCTGCAGCAAGGAGTGGGGAAAGGACACGGGTCATTCTAGACCGGCCCCCCAAAACATCTCCCTGCAGCAGCCTGACCCACACGCAGGTCCTGGGCTCCCGCTCACCTGAGACGATTTTAACCACTGGCGCCTCGAGCTGAAGTAACACAGGGATCGAGCTCTTCTTCATGGGYTCCAGCAGCCCGATCACCCCGTTGTTGTCCTGCACCGAGACAGAAACGGGGAGGCGAGTCAGCCGACACCAGACTGGCAATTGGCAGCAGAGCCTCTGGAATCAACCCAAGGAATCAACATACCCGGAAAGAGCCCCAGACAAAAACCCTGCCGTCCTCCGTGAGCGCGGCCGTGTGACTGTCCCCCGCAGAGACCTGCACCACCTTCTCCTGCAGCGGCACCTCCCCTGGCTTCATCTCCGAGCCCTCTGCGGAGGTGTCGCGGCCAAGGGCGCCTTCATCATTGCAGCCAAAGGTGTAGATCTGCAGAGGAGATGGGCCTGGTGAGCAAGAGACCCCAAGGGCCACTACACAAACAGCACGCAGAGACCGGCCACGCTGCACGCTCCCGCTATGCCCCAGCTCTGGCCTGGCACATGGAGAGGGGGGCTCTGCGCTCACGCCGGGCGCCGGAGCCTCCCAGTGCGCTCACGCGGCGCTCACCTTGCCCGTCTCGCCGAGACACACGGTGTGCATCCCCCCTGCCTCCGCCTGCACCACCAGCTCCGGGAGCTGCACCAGCGCCGGCTTCTTCCTCTCGAGCACATCCTCGCCCAGGCCCAGCTGCCCCACGTCGCCCTGGCCCAGTGTGAGCACCAGCCCGGGCCGCGTGCGGTGCGAAGCGTGGCAGACTGCAGCAGGGAAACGAGAGCAAATGGTCAAGGGGGAAGAAAGAACCTGGGAAAACAAGTATTCCAGCGAGCAGGATGAAAGCAGGGGGCACCTTTGAGCTTCTTCCTTTCCGGAGACCCTTCTTCTGGCGTGGGGCTCTTCTTGGCAGTGCGTTTTCCAGGCATGTTGCTTCAGACCTAAACAAAGAGGCTCTCTGTCCCGGCACCAGCCCCGCCGTCACTCTGGGGAAAAGCTGCAGCTGCCCCACRACATTCCCCACGTGAGGAGCCACTGGGATCGCTCCCCTTTCGGATCCTGCGCCTTCCCAGCGGACAACGTGGGTGCGGGGGGATYTGGGCACCCAACCCCATCCCCTCCCGGGCCTTGGTGCCGCCTCTGCGCTCGGACAGACGGGAACCTCCCTTGCCTTCCCGGCGGGGAATTAGGGACGGCGGGAAGGGAAGAATAACCCACGGGAAGGCCCGGAGCCTCCTGCTTCCCCAGGGAGCCCCATGGGAACCCCGGGCGCTCCCGCCGCGGCCCACGGGCACCGGGGCCTCCCCCCGCCCGCAGGCCGGAGCTCCCCGGGCTTCCACGGGAGGCGCTCGGGGCCCTGCGGGAAGCGCCGGGTCCTCCCGCGCGGGCCCCGCCATGTCCCTGCGCTTCCCGCCGCCGCACGTGGGGCCGCCTGGGCCCAGCGGCCCGGCCGCTCCCCGCCCCCGCCGCAGGGCCGGGCCCAGCGGGACACGTCGAGGCGAGGGGACGAAGCGGCCCCCGCTCCCGGTGCGGCCCGGTACCGCCCGGCCCGGCCCGGGGCCGCCCTCACCTCCGCTCGCAGAGGCTCCGCCGCGGCCCGCTCCGCTCGGGCCCGTCCCGCGCATGCGCGGAGCGGCGCCCGCCGCCGCCGCCGCCCCCTGCCGGCCGCCGGGAGCGCCGCCCCGGCCCCGGTACCGGCCCCGGTACCGGCCCCGCGGAGCCCGCCGAGCAGCGCGAGCCCCGCGGCTGCGCGGGGTCCGAGGCCGAGGGAGCGACCCCGAATCCCGGGAGCCGAGGCCACAGGAGAACCCCAAACCACAGGAGCCGAGGCCAGGCCTTGGGAGAGACTCCCCGGCCATGGGAGACACCCCCACATCCCTGGAGGCTCCTGCAGTGGTGCCTGAGCCAACGTTCCCGCGCGCTCCTGGGATCTGGAGGGGAATCCGCACACCGTGCGCTCCCGCTGGGATGCGGGGTCCTGAGCTTGGCAGCCGTCTCTGTTGCTGCTCCTTGGTGCCCTGTCAAGGAGCCCTTGGTGCTCCTTGGTCTCCAAAGCGCAAGGAGAGCCGAGGCTGGGCCTGCCCAGGCGTCCCCGTGCAGCCCTGAGGAGCCTGACTTTTCTCCTCAGTCCCATTCCCAGCTGCCTTGGGCAGGCACAGCTCTCGCCTGGGGCACAATCTCCACCAAAAGTGACTCTTGAAGGACACTGACCAGCGCTGGCTTTGGGATCCGCTTGTAACGTGCACATCTACAGACTCCCCTCTCTGTCTCAGCTCCCATGTCCCGAGAGTGATGGCTGGAATAAAGACACTCGGACGTGGTGCTGATCTTGAGGGAGATTTCAACACTCAGCTCTGTTGCCCACAGACAGGCAAGCCCCACAGCACTTCAATTCCCTTAGTGTCTCTGAGGCTTCTGCACCCTGAGCCATCACCAATGCCCAGCTGAAGAGGGATGCCCCGGCAGAAGTCTGTGTCCCTCTGCAGAGCAGCACACAGCCCAGGAGCGCCCCTGTGACCAGGGCAGGTCAAAGGTCTCAAATGTGGGGTCTCCCGAATGGGAATCCGCCCCTTCCCCAACCCCACGGACTGAGCTTCTCGGAGGGGAACGAGCAGCAGCGCCCTGGTGCTTCTGTCTGGGGTGGCAGGGAGGGCAGAGAGAGAGAGAGATGCCTGGGGGAAGGCCTTGCCCCAACCCAACTGTGCGCTCCAGCTCCTGCACAGAGACATCACGAGCTCAGATGGGACGCAATCTGACCGCCTCTGGGGGCCAGCTGTGCATGGAGGCCC